ATAATATTTTGAAATCTGTGAAGTGACAGATGAAAATAAAAATTGAAAAGAATAGGTGGAAATGACAATTATATTGAGCAAAAAACCCTGGACTGTAATTACAGTAAAATAAAAAACTCAAGCAAGAAAATTGAGAAATGCACAATTGAAATGAAATAAAAATGAAAATTGAAAGATTTCTTGAGAATCAGTAGGTCTCTCTCTCTCTCTCTTTCTGTTCCTATGAAAGCATTGAACGAATTTCAATTCTAACTCAATATCTTGTTTCGGTCAACAAAAAACTGTGTATGCAGATATGTCAAACGTTCCGTGAAAATCTTGATCTCCTACCAATTTCAGATTTTCTTCTGCAGTTATCGACGGCAAACTTCTTGAGCTTTCTAGAGGATTCATTCAACTCTGGAGCATGCTTTTTTGTTTTTTTCTACAAAAATTCCACCTCTTTTCAAAAACTATAAACTGTGTATGCAGATATGTCAAACGTTCCGTGAAAATCTTGATGATCTACCAATTTCAGATTTTCTTTTGCAGTTATCGACGGCAAACTTCTTGAGCTTTCTAGAGGATTCATTCAACTCTGGAGCATGCTTTTTTGTTTTTTTTTTCTAAAATTCCACCTCTTTTCAAAAACTATAAGCAATGAATGCATGAGAGAAACTTTCAGAGATAGAGCATGAACCTACTGGTGAAAGTTCCGTAGAAATGATCGTTGCATTTTTTCCACTCCTTTCTAGATTTTTTTTCGATAGGCATATCTTTTTTTATGAAATAAGTATGTGTGGATAACAGACAGATAAACGAAAGTATTCACGAAGTTTAAAAAAATAATTTTCTTCGAACTGAATAGGAAAATGGGTATTTTGAACGAATATGAGGGACATAATATGTCAAAGTATTACTCTGTTTTGTTTACACAAAAAACTATACAGAAATACATAGTGATTCATATTCTGCTCTTGATGAAATACCCAAGTTCGTTGACACATAATTTGTTATTTTTCTATTTAATTTTTCGGTTTGCTAATATTGAACAACTATGATAGGAAAAACCAATAAAAATATACGTTCCATTAAACAGTTATTCCACATACTCATGGCTGGTCTTGAATTGATCGATCTTGGTGAAAACCCAGGTTTCACGCTAGGTTCTCAATACCGATTTAGCGTGTTATTGATGACAATGAAGTTTTTTTAATCATTTTGTAATTGATAGCTGCTGTGTTGTATGTAAAGCACTTGTACCACTTACGTCTTTATAATTATCACGATATCCTTCTTATAATTCACCAAAAAAAGTGTCTGCTACTTGAAAATGGAATTAAAGAGGATGTAATTTCCAGTATTGGAACATTGCGAAATTATTTTTCGAAGCATGTCAAGGAAACTATGTATCTACGTGATATAAAATTCTCCTTCTTTGATGTAGATCAGAAACATTTTCAGCTTGGAGATGATTATTTTGGTGAAATCTGAAGGCAGGCAGTCGTGGTGATGAATTTTCAATGTTTTGTATATAGAGTATAATGTATCTATTGATATTGAAAATTAACGGACTAAGAATGTAAACAACTTAACTTCATTTTGAATTCCATCGGAATTACTGAAATTGACCCAATTATACCATCTCTAGTCACAAATCGCCTTGTAAAAGTTCTTGAAAACTTTTTTTCACTAATTACCCGAATGAATGATAATGTTTTGATGGCTAAAGGTTATATTTATCAATGAAAATGTAGTGCAATGAATCTATCTGTATTTCTGAACTACAAACTCGAGACGTGACACAAATTTTGCTGAGGCGAGTGGGGTGATGACTGCTACCTAGGACCTTCCGAATTATTTTTCACTTTCTAGTTCAATAAAACCGTTCAGCATAAACATTTTTTTCACTTATTTCATTCTCAAGTTTTCAGTTTCTAATGTTCATCCACTCTAATGCCACACAGTACTCGAAACGTTTTGACGTTGGGTGATGTATCACTAGGTTAGGTTAGGTAAGGTCTAAAGTGAGTGGATATATTCGACCCTCCACCGCAACCCGCTTCTTAACGAAGCCGATTAGTTTGTATGGTGAGTGGTCTTTCAGGTCAGATGGTAAGAATATGGCTCTGCCGAATTCTAAAAACCTGATTCAGTCCCCAACGGGACAGGTACAAAGTATATGCTCTGCTGTTTCATCATTTTCCAAACAGAGGCAACACAGACTGTGTTCTGACAGTCCGAAACGCTGCCAATGATGATTCAAATGAAAGTGACGTGCAAGAAGGCCTGATAGACATCGTAGTTCATCCCTAATCTAGTCCAAAACTGTTTGGTATCAAGCTTCGAAGGGTGAATAAATGCCTTGAAGTGAGCCAGTCCAGGAAGATTCTGCCAGAAGTCCATAAATCTTCTTGCTCTCCAGGTGTTCAATGTTTCTGACAAAATGGTTTAGACTTTCGCGGCTGAGGTTTTCAGTGTCACTGTTTTTCGAGTTTGAAAGCCGTGGATTTTCGGAAGAAATTCGTAGATACGTAGATACGTAGAGATACGTAAGCGACACCTTCATAATATGGAAACATGGGAATGCAGAACTAGACACTTTCCTAAAGCACATCAACAACGTAAGGCTTTCCATCACTTTCACAATGGAGAAGGAAATCCACAACGAATTGCCTTTCTTAGACGTATTGCTGAAGAGGACCGACATTAAATGGGAAACATCTGTGCATCGAAAATCAACTCACACAGGACAGTATCTGAACCAGAAATTCAACCACCATCAATCGACTAGGAGAGAAATCATCAAGACTCTACTGGACCATGCTTTTGGGCTCTGTACTACAAAGGAAGGTCTCGAAAAGGAACTAGGCATCATCAAAAATGACCTTCAACGAAATGGTTACTCCAAAGTGATGGATGCTGCCACAACCAGTATTTGTACTTCCCTACATCAGAGGATTATCAGAAAGGATAAGACGGATTGGGTCCAAGTATAACATCAGGACCTGTTTCAGATTTGGGAACACTATCCGTAGCAGCCTCACGAAAACCAGGCCAGCAAATGCGGACTGCGATTCCAAGAATTGCATTAACCGGATACCCTGCGAGTGCGGAGAATCATACATCGGTGAAACTAAGAAGCCATTGAAACTTCGCATTGCTGAGCACATAAAACACACACAGCGAGGAGAAACCAGTTAATCCGGAATAGCAGAGCATGTTTGGGCTCATCAACACAACATCTAGTGGGCTCAAGCTGAAATCATCCACAAGAAAGAGGAACACTGGTTCAGGAGAAAATAATTCAAAGAAGCCGCGTATATGTTGTCCAACAACGCATTTAGTCAAGCTAGCGTAGAGATACGTAACATATGGAAACCTCTAATCAAGCGAAAAACCCGGAGAATCCAATCCTCTCTACTCGGGAATAATACTTTATAAGGCAGTTCGTAGTTGACAGTTGGAGGCATAAAGTCAGAGGTCATTTCCAGAATGCTGTGACTTCCAGTGTCAACCAACAGTATGTTGCACTCTGCATTGAATACATTTGTGCATTTGGCAATGTGCACAAGTCTGTATGCAGTCCATCTAGCCTCTTTCTCCAGAAGAATGTGGAGAGGTGGTAGATTTAGAAGGATCTTCATGGCCGCTGACGGTGTGGAACTTATGGCACTACTGATAGCCAGACAAGCATGTCTCTGTAAGCCAGAGAGCTTCGCTTGGGCCGTTTTCTGTAAAGCCTTCGGCCACCAAGCAATTGCACCATAAGTGATCGTTGGTCTGACAATCATCACATAAATCCGAAGGATTTCTTTGGGACCTAAACCCCAAGTTTTACCACAAATCCTTCGACGTGCTCATAGAGACAGTCTGGCTTTGTGTAAAACTTTTTCCAAGTGAGCGTTCCAGATGATTCTTTTAGCAAGGACAATGCCAAGATATTTCACCTCCGTTCCAAATGGAATGACCTCACCATCGAGGGAAAGTGGCGTTAGATCGCCCAATTTTTTTCTCCTGGTGGAGGGGATCAACACAGTTTTGCTGGGGTTGACAGACATCAGCTCCCTCTGGCACCAACTGTGTTCATCGTCCAATGTGCTTTGGAGGATATTACAAGCTATCCTTCCCAACGTGGACCTTTCCAGGATGACAAAGACATCTGCATAAGCTTGCAGATCGACTTTTATTCTGTCGAAACCATCAAGCAGACTATCCATCAAGAGCGACCACAGAAGGGGAGATAGTACCCCGCCTTGAGGACAGCTCCTGGTGACCCTGAACTTAATGGCCTCTCCTTGAAGTGTCGTAGTTGCAGTTCTGTTCACCAGCATGGCATAGATCCAGCCAGTTATGGTCGATTCTATACCTTTCCTAGCCAGAGACATTCCTATAGATTTAGGTAGTGCATTGTCAAATATTCCTTCAATATCAAGAAATACAGTAACCAAGCATGTATTTATCTAGTACAACTGACACTGTCGATAAGAATTTTCTTATTTCGACAATGAAGTATATTCTGATTTTGTTTACATCTAGTTGCTTTGCAGTGAAAGCTGCGGTGAAAGACAAAGGACGAATCTCTGCGGTCGATGTCGAAGTTTGACTTCGCAACTGACCGCCTTTAGAAGCCTCATTTATCTTCGATATTCGAGATGGACGTGTTAGGAATCACACGTTAAAAGGTAAGATCTCGTTAGTCCTTAGCTCGCACAAGTTTCTCAACTTCTGAGAGTTGTCGTTCGTATGGGGGCGACAGCTGATTAACGTAAAAACAGATTTTTTTGAAACAGACAGATTCAGGCTCAAAATTTCGACATTGAAGTCGAAATTTTTACTCTGCAGTCGAACTCTGTCCAAAATTGATGTGATATAAAATTCGAGTGGATCAGAGTTATCAACGGTCCCAAAATTAGGCCCAAAATCAATTTCATGGATTCAAATGGGATTTTGATACAGCTCGATGGGGTTTATTTAAAGACTGGTTACGGAAAAACTAAACAAGTGAAAGCTAGGCTCACCTGGCAAACATTGAATGAGGCTCACACCTAACATTAAGAAAACACCAAATATAATAGAGATATATTCCATTTTCATTAAAAAACACCTAATCACTACACTCCACTTGGCAAAATAGATTTTCATATAAACCAACCGATGAGAAGTGAAGGATTGCGGTGTGTTCAATTCATTGGAATATCGGATTTCACACAACCGAATGAAACGCGGGGTTTTTACATGACTCAATCTTTGAATTATTTACAAATAATTTGTTCGATTGTTAGGATGTGTCACGAATCAAAATTCGGTCTTTATCTCCCAAATTCCTACACCGTAGGCGCTTGCCGAAAAACAACTACTTTCCTGGCTAATACCACGCTGGATATTGAAATATATGCGATAGACACTTATGCAACATAATTCACAGAGGTAAGTATCGCACTTGTTTCTCGTTCATTCAGTAGCATGGCCAGCTGGATGAACGAGCAGCATGGCCTGCTGGATGTTGGTTGTGGTTTCCATACCTGATTTTGCCTCTACTAGTGTGGTAAAAATTATTGAAGGTGATAAGGAAACGGATGAAGTGCTTTCATAGTAAAGCTTGGCGAATTTAGCTGTGCCTCTGAATATTGGATGCGCAGTAGATCAGTCGGCGGAGTCGGGCGAGAAATTAGTAACATCGAGGAACTCGTGTAGGAAATATCATGTTTTGGTATATTAAGTGGAAAAATTATTCTGTTTGTTGAACTGAGAGTTATTTGTTGTCATTGAGAATGCTTTTGAACAGTAAACTAAAAAACAAGGTTCTCAATGGACAAAGCAGAGAAATTTTGAATATGCAAGCGAAATCTGTCTGTTCTGTTTTTCCGGTAATCAGCTGTCGACCCCATACGAACGACAACTCTCAGAAGTTGAGAAACTTGTGCGCGTTAAGGACTAACGAGGTATCACTTTTCAACGTGTGATTCCTAATACGGCAGCAATGGCAGAGGAATGATAATTGTTTTTTGGGAAGGTGAAAATTGAAAATAACTGAAATTGTAACCAATATTGTCTTCGAACTTTGAAGGTTCAAAAACGAGTAGCTGAGGCTACAGGGGTTTGCATGCGAGCTGTACGGAAAATAAAATCAGAGATGAGAAAAATAGAAAAAGGTGCGAAAAAAATGTTTCCGACTCAAATGAAAGAAGATGTATTAAAAATTCCAAAATATTGATGGAGGATGCTGGCAGTTTTGAATAGATGTATAAATAATTTCCATGTCAATAAATTGATGGATGTAGCCGTTACTACGTGGTAGAAAATCATAATGAAGAAAAGATAATTGAAACTTCCTATGTTTTTCATTTATTCTCAAAACAGAGATAGAGAAACAGATAAATTTATTAGACCTGACCATTACATACAATCAGAATAAATTCGAGTTTGATGTTTTCAGAAAACCTAGCTATATATACATTACCATACCAAGCGATTCTTTCCATCCACACAGTCATAAATTAGCTGCCTACAATTCAATGTTGCACCGAGCATTCTCACTGCCTATCAAAGTTATTTCCAAACGCCTTTTTCTTGAAATGGTTGAAATTAAGTCTTCAGATTATATGAATGAGAAAACTGACATTGATAATCTCAGCAGTATATACAGTAAGTAACTTACTGGAACTACACCAAAAAACATAATAATAATAATAATGAAAATGTTATCAATCAACTCTTTCTTTAGAGTCAAAGATTATCGAATCATCATGCCCATTGCAAAATGACATTTATGTGAAGGTATGACGCTTCCCATTAGAAGCGAAAGCTTGGCAAAGTAAAGCAGAGTTTCGATTTTTGACTGAGAGACCCGTTAATTCATTTTACTGTATATTTCTCCAGTCGCTGAGATTATCAACTTTACTGTCACAATCATGGCATGGTACTTCATACACTCCTTGTGACTCCAGTGGTATCTGATCCTTGGGATTACGAAGCATGGACCTTATTGTCCGTTTTGGTACGAACGAAGTTGATATGTTGATGTTGTTGATTATTTCTAGTGTATTCAAAAAGAAATACAAACCGGCAGAGCATATCATCACCTTGGCGGAACATTGCATCAAAAACACTTACTTCATCTATAACGACCAACGATACAGACAAATTGGCTCGCCAATGGGCTCGCCACTATCACCCGTTGTTGCCAATCTCTTTATGGAAGAAATCGAAACCGAAGCAATAGCAACGTCACACTTGAAACCTAAACTCTGGCTGAGGTATGTCAATGACATCTTCGTGATTTGGTCTCATGGACACCAGGAACTTTCCAGGTTTTTTAATCACTTGAATGAAATCCATCCACGCATTAAATTGCGACATTGAAAAACGACCTAATAATATGAACAAGAGGGATGATGCGCAAAGATTACCATCAACATGGAGATCCGTTTTATCGCTTCGCACAAGCAATCAGACCGCTCAACCCCAGAAACAAAACTCGGCACATGACAATACAGGTACAATACAGGCAGGAGAGGCAGCTCAGGTAATAAGACCAAAACAGGTAGTCGAGCAAACACAGGTAGTGGCAGCAACGCAGGTAAAGGGAAACATACATCCCTATAAATTGAGACACAGAGTTCGAACTAATCAGTCTAGTTGAGAAAACCAGACATCATTAGAAGATGGCAAATGAGACTTTGCCGAAACGTTGTGAGAAGAATCCTTATGGGGATAAAATACACAGAACACGGAGCGAAACCCGAGAAAACAGCTCATCATACTTTATCCGTGGGAATCTTCGAGACAGCCTATTGGGCATCGTCAGTACCGGGCAAGCGGTCCTCGATTGAAGACAATTTGTGAATAACCAAGAAAAGTACTTGATGAAAATAACTGCGTAAACGCAAGCGAGACCTAAGTTGAACCACCTATTGGTGTGACACCCAAGTCAACTTGCCAAGTGTTTATGTCAGTGTTGGTGGTTTGACCAATCAACCGACAACTGCGGTAGAAGGAATTTGGGAAGGTAACCTATAATGCCATCGGAAAACGAATCCACATGTTTCTAGACATGATATGACATCGAGAAAGGTTATGCAGTCAAGCTGCTGGAAAAAAATTCCATGAAAATTAAAATATAAATAGGCATGATACATATAAAAAATGAAACAATTCGTGAATACAAAACTCCAAAAAGGGGGGCAAACTCGATAAAATCTCTATTAGTATGCATATCCTGGACCCGGATGTCACGCAGGTAGCTATAGCTGCCTACGTGGTCATGCTAGATGTAGCCTGGGAATTCTAGGTCTTCTGACTGGAACCACAAATGTGCGGTTGGCTTCTGTTGTTGACTCCGTGCGTATGTGTTGTTCCCTGCTTTCGGTAAACAAGTGTTGCCCATCTTTATACTTCGCTACACCGCGCTCATGAGGCCAATAGCCAAAAACACGTGTCCGCGGTTTGCCCCCCTTTTTGGAGTGTTGTATCCACGAACTGTTTCATTTCATGCAGTGATTTCTGAAATTAAGGGTTTCATAGAGATACATTCCTAGGAATTTAACTGTCTCATCATGCTCAATACAGCTGCCCTCAATACAAACGTTGAGTTGAGAGCATCTTTTTTTGATAATTGTGAAATCTGATGCATCTTGTATCTTGTTTCAGAGCTATTCAGAAATAAAAATCGCGAATCGATGGATGAAAACCGTATGGAAATCCCTTTCAGACAGACATGCAGACAGATACTGTGGGGAAATTGAATTCATAATATGTGATATCTTCTGCATTCTCCACTGAGAATTGAAAACGGTGACCAAACGGTATCGCTCGATCTTTTTTGAGGTTCAAGGGTTGAAATTCACTTCACTGGGAAAATGCAAGTGGAGAGATTGACATGAATGTAAAATACGAGTATAACGAGCATATCGAGTATTTTTTCCACTTCCGTTTAGCCTTCATTAAACTACCCCGTATGATATCCCACGTTCACTTTATATATTTTTAATTGGAGTCAATATTCTTCCGCGTTCTATTTTTGTAAAGTTGAAAATTCCTAAGGACCAACTTCTTCATCCATTTCGTTGTCAATGGCATTCATATCAGTGCAAAATCTCACGTGGAGCCAGTTTGTGGATACGACCTTGCGTAAATAATTGCCGATCGTACTTGGAAAATCCTGTAGTACCGCGAGAACTGCATCTACTGGGTGCATCGCACTCTTTAATTTTTTTGTCAGTGTAGACGACTCAACGCTTGCTTCGACTAACCTTCACAAGAAAGTATAAACTTGCTCCTGACCCACGGTGATTTCAGTGCTCGGACGAATTCTACGATGAAACTGATACTTAAGTGGGGAGTATTTTTGTGTGTCTTTGGAGTAGGTGGCTGTCAGTTTTTATGTGAGTTTTCATTTCAATAAATGTAGGATTATTGTTTTCCTGGAGATTTTGGGCAAATTTTCGAATTGACCGGCTCGCACCAGTTTTTGCAAAACTTTCAATTGAACAAACGTATTTTTATCCGCTGATCCCGATTTTGTAATGGTAATTTGTCGTCTATTTTCGAAGATACGGCCAGTCGAAAGTAATAAAATCAGCCATTTCAGGAATGAAAAAATCTGATATTTAACCAAAAAAAAAACAAGTTTTTTGACTTGTTAAGTAGAATTTCGAACTTCTGGTGTGAAAATAATCTATTTTATGGACGATTCAGAGAAACGCGCGTCCAGATACAGAATTTTTGTTCTGGTGAGAAAATAGTGTTTTCGATAGATTTTCATTTCTGTTTTGTACGATACTGTTACTTCGGTAGAGTTAGTGCTATCTGTTTTCGATATCACGAAAAGTCAAAGTGAATGAATGAAAACTATGTTTGCCAATTTCCGAAATTTAGCTTTGCCTTGAAAGAATAGATCATCATTATGAAGTTTTCGCTCTCATTCGGTGTAAGTTCACATGAAAGCAGCAACAGTTGAATACTAAAATAGACCTCGATATTTTTCAAGAAAAAAATGATACATCCATATATTTTCCTCAATCAAAATCCATTTTTGAACTCCTCATTCAATTCCGATTGAACAATTTTTCCTACAGTATGTTGTTTTGAGTGAAAAATAAAACCTTTGTATTGTCCGAGAAATTATTGACAGGTTTAATTTTATCGAATTTGATCTGACTTTAGGTTTTCAGTCAATATTTTTCGATACAAAAATAATTCTCCAATTCAACACTGACACGGGAGATTTTCTAATTATTCGTTGACAACATTGCGAACAGTCAAATTCAAGAAATGGGAATTGTGTTGTCAATTTCCAAAATTTTACTCAGCTTCGGCTTACAAAAACGTAACTATCAGTTTATTATTGCAAATAAGTAGCTTGTTAGGCAGTTAATTCAACTTTTTTTCTAAGTGGAACACTTTACAAACTATAAACATGGAATCGGTCGTGGAAAGCACCTTCTCAATGTCAAAAAAGATGACATTTCCCATATTTTCAATACATATATAAATTTGACAACATTGCATTGATGAATTGAAGGGGTAATTTTTTTAGGAGTGATTAATTTTTGGGAAAGAAAGTTTATGGCTTTCTTTCCCAAATATTGTATTGATATTGTTGTATTATCATTATTATGCCAAGGTTCATTGAATGTTTATGAATATGGATCAAGTAAATTGAGAAAAGATACAAATTTAACGAAATAAAGAACAAGAAAATACAAGTAAATAATATGAGCAGTCAAAATTGAATTGAAGAAAAGAAAATTAAAAACTATGTTCTTCTATGTTTTTCTATGTTTTTACCACTTTTACTCGTAACTAACATTACTGCAGGTTCANTTCCAATGGAACTTTTTTGATTTCTTCTATGCAAACATATTGTTGTCCATCACTCATATAATTCACGAACCAATAAAGGATATTCCATCCAATGCCAAAACTGTTCAGTTCTGAGATCAATATGTCATGATGTACAGTATCAAATGGTTAACAAATATCTAAAGACGTTCAAATTTTCCAGTTTTGCACTGTACGACAGACAAAGAATGATAACACCTTGAATGATGCACGTTACTTGCATATCATCTGCATATATGATCAAGCCAATTCAAATATAACATATTTATAGAGAATGGGCCTCAGAACTGAACCCTGGGGGACTCCTGCTTCGAAGACGTTACATCACCATAGCTACATACTAGTTTACTATTTGATTATATGATGCTGTGAATATATTTATTGGTAATTTTCGATTGTGAGAGTGCAAAAAACAGGTTTCATTAGTTTGGACTTCCATTATTTGAAATGATATAATAATTTGAAATCTGTGAAGTAACAGATGAAAATTAAAATTGAAAAGAATAGGTGGAAATAACAATTATATTGTGCAAAAAACCCTCGACTGTAGTTACAAAAAATTGAAAATTGAGCTAGAAAATTGAGAAATGCACTAGTGAAATGATTCAAAAATTGAAAATTGAAAGAGAGGAAGCCAAGTTACTTTAGACGTTTCTTGTGCACACACGATGTGTGTGTTTCTTGTGATCGGCAATGTGAAACACACACAGCGAGTAGAAAGCAGCAAATCGGGAATAGCACAGCATGTTTGGATCCATCAATATAACATCCACAGGGAGGAACACTACTTTGAGAAAATTCAAAGAAGCTGCATACATGTTGTCCTACGACCCATTCAACCAGCCTGAAGATGATTGTGAATACTAAAAATCGAAAAATCTTACAATTTTTCATTTTTATATCATTTCAGTTGTTCAATGTTTCTGCTTCATTTTTCAATTTATTGTAATTCCATTTCAGGGTTTTTTGCTTGATATAATAGTTATTTTCAGTTATTCTTTTTGATTTTAACTTGTTATTTCAGAGATTTCAATTATATCATATTAGACAATGGAAGTCCAAACTGATGAAATTCACCATGCAAAATTGTCAACCACCACCTTAAAAAAATAGGTGTTTTGAGAATCCGTAGGTCTCTCTCTCTCTTTCTGTTAATGAAAATAGTTTATTATTAACCATTTGTTGGTACGCTAGGTACATATGGTAGGTCCTTATAGTATAATATTACAATTTGTTACACTAAAAATATACGGACATATGTATGAATAAATAAGTAAATAAATAAAATAAAAAAAACAGCAAATCATTAAAGATGTTTTTTTACGGTCGAGAATGTTCATGTATAATTTTCAGTGGCATACAAAAAGGTAAACACAAGAGCATGCCATTTTCCGTTCCTTCAATGTTATAGAAATTACCAAGACAGTACATGTTACCCTTCAAAAGCCCTGTGAAAATGTTCAACAAAACAAAACAGTGATTTGAATGATGAAGCTACTGTGTATATGTCGTGATATAATTTTCAAATGAAGTTTGTGAAAATTGAATCGTGAGGTGCAGTTTATGAAAGTAGATACTATGGAGGAGAGGAGAGGAGAGGAGAGGAGAGGAGAGGAGAGGANCAAGTAATTGGGCTCTTTCTGTCATCAGGCAACGGTATTTCAGTAAAATTACTAAATGGGAGCTCTAATACATCTCAGCTTTGCACTCAACCCATTTCAAATTTCCCAAGAGGAGCAGCACTATAGATTTAATCGTCCAAATTACTGTCTTATTCAGACGTGACAGTGTTATTACACGAAATGAATCAAGTACTACCAAGAGACTCTCTTCGTTTTCAATCTGAGCACATTTCAATTTGAATAAATGAACGTTCAACGTCGAGAATTATTTTCAAATTTAACACAATCGTTTATATTTACCCGGATCTGAAGAAGCTCTCATTCCAGTTTATTCAAATATTTGTTCGTCACAGAAGAGCGACTGAATCTCTGCAAATACACTCGAAAATATTGTAGGAATATCTTAATTCTTCCACAATTTGTTTCATTCACGATATGTGTGGAATCTCATTATATTGCTGAGGTGGAGAAACCTGCTATTGGGGGTTTGTTTGAAGGTGGCTGACAAAGTCAGCTGGTGTATTTCATCAGTTTGGACTCCCATTGTCTAATATAATATAAATTGATATAAAAACCCTGAAAACTCTTATAGCGGTGCCTGTGCGAAAGTGGCGATTTACATTGGATTCGAATCGCTGAAGATTAAATCCATTTGAAAAACGTTCCCAGGAAGTTCGTTCCACATAAACGTAGTTCTCCAGATGAAGAAGTTTTCAAAAATTGAAGTTGCAGGTGTACTGAGTTGAACCTAAAAACGATGAGCAGCCACAGTGTACCTAGCTTTCGAGAGGCAGCCTTTGCAGTTCCAGCGACATATTCGGCCAGGACATATTGGTATCCATTTCAACCCCCAACAAACTTATCGAAGCAGAAAGCGGAATTTTCTGACCTGACATTGTTATATCCGGTCGAAAACATTTATTTTCTTGGAGAAAAACGTTGCCTGGGTTTTTGTGGCATTGAATTGAACCTGGTTACTTTCCGAAATCCCTTCTAGATCCTCATTGCTACCACCTGCTGCCGGTGAAGATCTGCATCCGTAGCCGATGTGTTAGAATCCAAATGAGACAAGTGTGCTGTCGTCAGCAAAGAAATATATTGGATTTCTTGTTTTTTTCCAATATGTCGTTGATATATTGGAAAAAGGGGGTTGAAGACAAAATGGAGACAATAGGCTCAATGAGGAGTAATATCTTGAAGTTTTGCGCCGCTTGTATAAGGTAATATGAAGAAAACGTCCGGTATTGTGTAAAGACAATTCATGGCTTTTGCATCATGATAATGCACCTGCTTACTCATCATTGCTTGTTCGTGATTTTCTGCCAAGAGCAACACTGTAATCATGCTTCGGCCACCGTATTCACCAGATTTAGTCTTCTGCGACTTTTTGCTGTTTTCGAGTTCGTAGAGACCCATGAAAAAACGGCGTTTTGTAATGATTGTGGAGTTGAAAAACGAATCGCTTTGAGTGTTCAAGGACATACCAAAAAGTGCATATCAGAACCGCTTTGAGGATTGGAGACAAGACAGGCACAAGTGTATTACATCTGAGAGGGACTACTTCGAAGGGAACAGAATAGAAATTGATGAATGAATGAATATTTAGTGGGAAAAATGAAAATTCACCCTATTTTTTGAACAGACAGCGTATACGAGAATATCAAATGATTTTTCAACTACCAAAATTCTTAACAATTTTTCAATACATTGTTTCTGTCATGAATTCAACGAAAATGATTTTCATAATAATATTTTCTGTCTATAATTTGTATGTTGTATTTATTTCGATGTGAAATGTTAATTTCCTCTTTCTGATATATGTATTCCATTCATTTGAAATCTGATAAATTCAGAAACTAAACCATTGGTATAAAATTGCAATTAATTTGATGGCATTGAATAAAAGTGGTTGTTATATT